AAAGAAGTACGCAAAGAAGATTGCTTACAATGCATATGAGTTACCATTTTTATATTATAAAATTTGGCCGTACTTCTTTTTTACGCTGCATTGCACTGTTAAAATAAAATAGTTGACAAACGAGAAGGAGAAAACGCCAAGCATTTCTGTAGTTGCCCCTGTCTAAATGTTTAATACGTATAATTTTATAGCTCCATAGTGAATTAAGACAAGCTGCATCAGAGATTAGGTATTTTATCGTTTTGTAAAAATGTTAAGGATCTGAAAATTTGGAAGCTTTTTACGTGATCAAATTAGAGGACAAAAGGATGAAGAATAAGAGGAAGAATTTCGTTTTTTCTACTTCTTAAATATCATTCATAATGAGGTTATGAGCGAATCTTTCTTCATTTACGTTACTGATAATGAGTTCTTAAAGTATGATTAAGTAACTGGTAATAATAAAGTGAATAATAATTTTACAACGACGTGCTGAATTATTTTTGGATCGAATAACTTTAAAGAGCTTTAATGGTGTCGGCTAACTTCCTACAATTAACTTATATTACAGAAAGTTCCAAAAATAATGGCTAGCGAACTATTTGTAGTTTAAAGGAAAACGCCGATAGAATATTAAGTAAAATATTAATATTAAATAAAACTTATTCTTATCTGGCAGAAAATTTTGCTTATTGTAATCTAATACAAATACCTAAGACATGCATTCAAGAAGAATGACAAATGCATAATGTGGGAAATGCATAATGTGGAAAGCTTTCCGCTTTCTATTTTTAAATTTACTATTTCATAATTTTGTTGACAGATATCTTTAAATATTTGTTGCGTCATCTTTCAGTATCATTAATGATGCTCATAACGTTTTCTTTTGTTAGTAATAGCATGTTTTCTCATTACCGTTTCACAAAGAATTAAGTTAGAGTTATTAGTACAAAGCTTGATACATTGATTTCAAATTGGCTAAGTATTTAATTCTATTATAAAAACACATAAAATTAATAGAAAAGTGAAAAGTTTTTATTTTATAGCACTAGTTTTAAATTTGAGATTGAAGCTTAAAACTGCAGTCTACTTCAAAGTTGTAAACAGTATAAAAACATTTCTAGTATTTAATTTTGCACATTCAGAGCAGTTGTTTGAGCGATGCCTAAGAATGAGTTTTTCACTGCAAAATATGGTAGAATGTTTTTATTCGATGATGTGCCAGTTCTAGAATCTTTAATCATTATAGATTTCCTTTGTACTTATTTAATCTTTCCCTTCATTTCATTCTGTAAAAGGCTTGATATTAATCCTCTTTTTGCAATACATTTTTACACAGTATATTTAGGATTTTTGTATGCAATCATCCACTCTCCAGCCTAAGTAGTGTATTATATATGTGCATGCAAACATTTTAGAAATTGTAACTTTAGTTCATTAGTTTGATGTATGCATTTTTGTAGATAATTAGAGAATTTCTTAATAAAAAGTATAAGTTTTTATTTTCATATTTAAATTTAAATCTAGCAGTGTAAAATTTATTTTTGTACTTAAATACATGAACAATATTTCAGACTTCTTATAATACAAACTCATTATAGTACTTTCATGTCAGTAAATACATTGTATATGAGAACATTATGTGATTTTGCATTTCTGTAAATTTAAATAGGAAAATGGAATACTTTGCTTTATTTATAGTAGGCAATATAATTATTTAAATTTTTCTCATAAAAAATATTCTATAAATTAATTTTTATTTAAAAATAGGCAACATTTTTTTATTTCAAAGCAACATTTTTTATTTTGAAAAGATGCAACATTTTATTGTTTTATTTTAAATTTTATATATTACCGTAAGTATATATTTATATTGAAAAATAAATAGTAATTGTTTTATTCCTGTAAGTAAAATATGCGCAACAAAATAATGTAATATATCTGCACTTTCTAAGAATATTCATAAATTATAATTATGCATGAAGTGTTATTTATGTATACTGTGAGAAAATTTCTTATGATTTGTAAAGTAAAATTATTTCTAAAATATTAAAATACGAAATTCTAGATTATTCAGTCCAAAGTTGCAGTGTTTTAAAAGATTTCAAACTTTCAGAAGGTTTTAAAAGAATCTATTAATTTTAGTAAAATGATGTACATTTAAAAGTAAAATATGTAATCATAATTAACTGTATTCTAAATACTTCAACAAAAATGTTCAAAGAGGAAAATCAATGTAAAATAAAATTTTATTATTTTAATGACAAATTTCCAAATAATCCGTACTTATGTTCTTGTAGTTCGTATTTTCGACGATGAGAAGAAAATAAAATCTTTCAAAAAGTCAATATACATTTTCCTGGAGCAAAAATGTTCAGTCTAGCGAATTTTGAGCAGATAAGGTATATGTATGACGTAAAATAGTATTAATTTATTGCATTAAGAAAGCTTCTTAAGATAATATTGGCTAAGGATTTTTCCCTTTGTGGAACATTTTAAAATATATGTCTATAAATATTTCAAACTTAATAAAACCAAGCAATTATTTTTCTAAATTCAATCAAATCAACACTATTTTTAAATCAGAAAACATGATTTTCTCTGTTTGGAGAAATGAAAATTTTCATATACTAAAAGGGATTTTAAAATAATGATATCCTAAATTTATTAATGCAACCACTTATTTAAAATCTCTTTAAATTTAAAGATAAGCATTACAGCAATTAAATCCATAGTTTTAAGCACACATAGGAATGTAATCTTGTAGGGTTCCTCACTTTTATCTCTATTAACTAAGCTTTTAGGAACCTAGTGAACTATTAAACGAATAATCGCTTAAGTCCAAAAATAGGAACGTAAGCTCAAGATGGGTTAATTAGCCTTTATTGCTCGAAATAAATATGTACAGATGGTCCCTTTCTCAGTACGAACAACAAAGCCTCCACTTGGGCTTTAACTCAAAAATGTGAGAAATAAGAACTTAACTAATGACTAACTAAAGATATTTAGCCGAAGCTAATACAATTTCTAAACTAGTTGGTCCCTAATATTAAATTAGCTTGCGAAGCTATCAAGGGCACGTAATATGGTCGAGCGTAGGAACAGCTTAGAGAGATGTAGCCAAATGGCAAACGCGCGCTATTCAAGAAATTTAATTCTCTCGGTCGAAGTCAGTGAACTGTGACTTAAATACTCTCTACTACTCATTTGCATTTAATGCCATTCTGAAAACGCATTCTGGTAAGGAATTGTAAGCTTACAAGGTATTTCTTCCGCCTTCTTAGCGTGCCTTCGTGTTGTGGTGGTCTGCACGCTGGGCGCGTATTCCAGAGGTCCGTGGTTCGATTCTGGCGAAAGCGTTGCTCAGTTTTCATCACTCTTGCTTCCAAAATACCTAATGTCTCTACAGTGGCGCCCTAACTAAAAGGGTGGGGGATGATGATTCTCCACACCCAGGATTTGGCGATTGGCTCCCCTAAGAACCTCAGTCGCCCTTTAAAAAGGGGAGTATATAAGGTATTTCTTCCGCTTTCTTAGCGTGCCTTCGTGGTGTGGTGGTCTGCACGCTAGGCGCGTATTCCAGAGTTCCGTGGTTCGATTCCCGGCCAAGGCGTTGCTCATTTGTCATCACTCCTGCTTCCAAAATACCTAATATCTCCACAAGCTGATGGTAGAAGAGACAGGAAAGGAGCTTAAAAATTAACTGTTATAAAATTAGGATATAATCTAAATCATAAAAATTAGAGTTTAGTACCTCGAGCGGATAAAATATCGCTGAATTACGAGAACCTATATTACTAAATCTCATGTCTTAATAAATTATAGAATGATTGATAATATGCATGCATTATGTATTAATAGGTACTTACGTTCTTGACGCAACGACCTTGGTGCAATATATCATTTTTTATAGATAAAAAGTTAAAAGTTACTGTTCTGTTACTTTCGATTTTTTTCATAAGTCGGTAAGCATTATCAACATATGAAAAGAAAACACACTTTAGCAATTTAAAACATAAATTTTAATTATTAAATAAGGACTGCGTGGCAGATTTTAAAAAAATCCCTTACATTCTTCTTGAAATCTATTTTTAATTTTTTGTGCTATTCTTCTCCCGAACTAACCAGCGATCTGTTTTCTCCTAAAAAAATCAAAGAATTATAGAAACTCGGCTTCGGGCAAACATCATCAAGAACGGCTATCTTGGAAACGCGTTGGTTCTGTTTAGAAAATGTTTAACAAATTTCTGCAGAAATTGTGCTGTAGTTTCTTTTACTGCTGTCAAATTTCGTAAGCTCATATTTTAAAACTTTGTTTAAGGCAAAAAAAAAAAAAAAAGACGTTTTGCTTATAAAAACTGTTGGAACGAAGAATACAAAAAAGGAACTCATAAGAAATGGGCGGCGTTGCTTGATAGAAGAGCTGTTGCGAGCATGGTTGCCGGAAGAATGGTTATGCTCGTGGTTGCCAGAGTATGGCATAATTCTAAAAATTTGGCGACTTCTTCTAATGTAGTTGCAATAACACATAAGTACCAATTAATATATCTCTGTCACTAAAAAAAGAATGATTCTAATTTTTATAGAAGAGTTTTATTGTCGAATCTCAAAAATTAAGTAATTAGCTTATGTCTGGAATACGCATATCTCTGTCCTTGAATATTTTCTTAACGCGAACATACAAAAGCAACTCAATCAGGTGCAATTTGTATAAATTTTATATCGCTTAAAGTGAGCAAGAAAAATTGAAGTAAAATGTCTAAATGTTTTTAAATATGAAAAGTATTTTCTACACTAAATTAAAATGTCCTAATGTTTCTCTTACTTTAAATTTTGAATAAATATTCTCCAATGAAAATATAAGATTTGCAAGATTATTATCAACTTAATTACTGCCAAAAGTTTCTGTTTCCAAGCAGGGAATTTCTACATTCTTTTCAAATCATTATTTCAAATCATGTATGAAATTTTGTTTTGGGGATTTCACTACTATTCTTTTCTGTGTTGTTTTGTACCTGCAGAGACGAAGATATCTTCTTTGGCTTGCTAGACACCTGCCTTCAGAATCCCCACTGTGCCGGGAGTGGCCCCCGTCCCCTCGATGCCTACAAGAAACAAGTTACTATCTTAGAAAATTGTATCATAAGTGGAGAGTAAGTAAAAATTATTTACCTGGTTTAAATGATGTTATAGAACTATGCTTACACCCGAGTGTGTGATCATTTACTACGAAAGAGAGTATGTAGTATGAGTATGCAAATGAGAGTTACAAAATACATAGATGTATCAATCCCTCCCCAAGAGCTACTTTACTATTTGGCTACATTTCATAAAATATGCTGCACAGAAGACCAAAATTCCTCACTAAAACAAAGTCAAACCTCAAAGTTTATATTACTCTGGCTAGCTATAAAATCTAGATTAGCAGCTACACTAGTGCACTTATAAATTGGCAACAGGTGAAAAGTGTTTACTTTCTGGAGTTAGAACTCGCTTATGTTGTAAATGATAAAGCAAACGCTTATGTATATAATTTCCAAATGCTAAGTTCTCTAAAAATGTGCAAGAGAAACAGTAATTTAATCTTAATTTTTTGAAAGGAAAATGATCAAAATTTGAAAAGATAAATAAATACATTTATTTAATTACAGATTTTAAACATTTGTGAATTTTTACTCTTTTGAGCTTTCATTTCATGATGCAAGCTCTAAAAGAGTTTTCATTTGTAAAATATTGATTATTAGTTATTAAATTCACCAGCGGTCAAATCACTGATCACTGGTAGTTCAAATCCTTGGGGCTTAAATCCCTGAAAATATGAGGTCTACACATGGATATTGTTTTGTTTTTCGCCCGTGGCTAAAAGTCATTCTCCTTAGATAGTCTTTCATAAAGACAGCCCTCTCCGTAGGCAGATAAGCTTCATGCCCTTCGCCGCAATCCTACTAATCCAGTCCTATTATTAGATGTTGCATTTCTCCGTCATTGCCACTGTTCTATATAGAGGATACATAGTTACTTTAAGTGACTTAAAAATAATTGGGACGTAAGAAACTTTTAAACACTCAGTGATAAAAATTCATGTATTACTTGAAAACTCAATATTTTTATATCTTTCTGTGTTTAAATACCATGCTAAGTCTATTATGATGTAAGGTATTTAAAAAACAAGTAAATAATGGAGATATTTCAAACACCTGGTTTTTATATACAAAATTAAGATAAAAAATGTATTAAGGCATGACTGTTCAAATTCTATAAACAGCCATTTCCAGAGGGGTTTTCTTCTGAAACAGCTAAAGAGAGTTTTAAACTTTGAAAACGTGCAGGTTAAGGACGAGGAGCTACTCTTTTAATATGAGCCGAAGCAAATATCTGAGATTTCTTTTATGTACGCAAACTTATGATTTTTTTATTGGCATGGTGAAAAACTGTTGAAAAATATTTGAACTATCGACTGTTAAAAAAATGTTTGTTCAAAACATGATTTTGAAATACCATAAGAGAAATTAGGTTCAAATCAATCAATGAACAGTTGTTCAACGAGTTTTACTAAATGCGAAGAAAATTGGATGATTAGAAATACTAGTTTATACTCTTAAAGTCACTGTAATGAAATTGACGTCAGAAGCTCAATACTTTGTTAGTTTAGTAATGCAGAAACTGTTAGTAATATTTTGAGAAAATAAAATTTTAATGGCTGAATAATTAGAAAAAAATTATTTCTCGGTATAATGGATCGAAGTACATGATTATAATTCATTAAGGTCTTTATTAGAAAGCGTCAAAATTTGAAATTCGGTTATATCTGTAGGCGAAAGTAAATTCAATCTTTTTGAAGTGATAAAAAGCAAACCGTAAAGCGAAGTTCCAGTATTGAACTTCCAAATGAAGAATATTACTCCTACAGTAAAAGTATCCAAATAGTCTGAGACTGTATGCGTACTTGCAGAATTAAGAGAACACGCACAGTATGAGAGTATTGTTACCATAAACTTTATAAGGACATTTATTCCAAACAAGAGTGCTGATACTTACAAACTGTGGACTTCATTCATTTATTCATATGTAATGGAAAATCCGAATTTCAACTCTGTTGAGAATATTTGGGAATATCTGGAAGACGAAATTAATAAATTCGGGATTTCTAAAGGAAGGTAGCAAATATGTATTAAAATCTTATCTAAAAATCCAAGATATGGCCTGTAAAAAAGGTATTTCGTTTTAATTAAAAATTTAATTATTCTCTCAAAAAATACCTGAAAGCATGTTGTACCCCAATACTTTTGACTCACTATATGTGTAACAAAAGCCTTTTTTACAAATCTCACACCATTAAACAACCTAAAATGTTACATGAAGTAAAAGTGTAAAAGAAACATATCTGAAATTATGCTTTTGTAATATTATATAAAAATAAATTAATTTAAGATACGAATAATTCGTAACTATAAACACAGATACTAAACTAATTACACAAACGTGTTAGATCACCTGGTGTAAAAGAGAAAGTTAATTTTAATTATTAATATCCTGTTGGATTGTCTCTTGCACGTATGAATGCTTTAAGCACATAATGTATATTTATTTGATCAGAATGTGGTCAAACTGCTGCCAAGCTCCAATCTGTTAAAATGTGCAGTTTCAACTGATTCGTATAGAATTTTATTTAAGCCTTTTTCAACCTTCCCATGCATGTTTGGGTTCAAACAAGACGACATAAACAAATTTCAATATGATTAGGAATAATTATGTAACAGCCATAACTTCGTGGATCAGAACACAGGCGTATGTCCATCAGAACACGCTCATGTGTTCCTGATCATTGTTGTTTTGAAAAATGAAGTTATCCTTTAATTTAATTTATTGACTCTCTTTATTGAATTCTAAAAAAAGTAATTATATATAAATATTCATTCATCACTCCGTCGATAAATCGAAATCTACATAGCTCATCCGCTGACATAAATTCCGAAGCTGATAGTAAACCCTCTTTGTACTTGACAGAAGCACAAAGATTCTGTTCGTCAAATTCTGAACTATTCGCCAAGCAATTTTATTTTTGCTTAAGTCAAATAATTTGGATTTTGGTTCTTTTTTGAAAATAACAGGTTTCTAGAAATTCTGATATTTAGGAAATATTTCTGCTGGATGTAATCTCTTTCTGTCATTCCTCTCACTGTCATTCCTCTCATGTCTGTTCACTGACAACCCTTCATCTATACCCATTATTCGACGTTCAAGACACTCTTTCAATTCTTAAATCCTTAGCAGAAAATGCAGCAACATTAGAAGTAATTTCCATGACTGTTTTAGCAGGATTTGCTTCGGCACGTGCAATAACTTGCCCTTGCATTGATCTCCCAGTTCTTCATTTATTCTTAATGTTATGTTTCCTTGTTGATTACTTTTCAACACACTTTAGCTAAAGAATTCCAGTAAATTCGGAAATTTGTCTTAGCAACAAATTATTATTTTGAAAGTGATAATGATATTTGCTTCACCTAAAGTATTCCATCACATCTTCAGAATTTAGAACTTAAAATCTCTTTTTTAGATTTCGATTATTTAGATTATGTCAAAGTATTTGAGAGCTATCTACTTACAAAAAGGGGACTTTTTAAGGCAAATTAGTTCCTGTTCCCGATACATAAGGGAAGAATTATGAAATCTCCCATGCAACCTGCTAGTTTGTCGGCAAATGGACCCAACTCGAACTACCAGTATTCGGAGACATTACTGCTTACATAACCACTTTTCCAAAATAAAATTTGCTGCTGTCTTAAATAAATAATTTGACGAAACTTTGATATTAGATTAGTTATTTGAATTATGGCCAAACTTATGAGTATGTAAGGGAAGAAATACCTTCCTGGAGAAATTTTAAACAAAATTTCTCCAGGAAGAATAGTTCAGAATTTGACGAACAGAATCTTTGTGCTTCTGTCAAGTACAAAGAGGGTTTACTATCAGCTTCGGAATTTATGTCAGCGGATGAGCTATGTAGACTTCGATTTATCGACGGAGTGATGGATGAATATTTATATATAATTACTTTTTTTAGAATTCAATAAAGAGAGCCAATAAATTAAATTAAAGGATAACTTCATTTTACAAAACCAATGATCAGGAAAACATGAGCGTGTTCTGATGGGCATACGCCTGTGTTCTGATCCACGAAGTAATGGCTGTTACATAATTATTCCTAATCATATTGAAATTTGTTTATGTCGTCATATGTGAACCCGAACATGCATGGGAAGGTTGAAAAAGACTTAAATAAAATTCTATACGAATCAGTTGAAACTGTACATTTTAACAGACTGGAGCTTGGCAGCAGTTTGACCACATTCTGATCAAATAAATATGCATTATGTACTTAAAGCTTTCATACGCGCAAGACGCAATCCAACAGGATATTAATAATTAAAATTAATTTCATATTACGCATAGGGAAAATCATAAAAACTCTTATGCAGCCAGCCGTTTTCTGGAAATTGAACGCCTATCGAACTTTCACTATTCGGCGACTTCGCCGAAGAATACTGACATTCAGTCTCTAAGACTTCCATGAATAAAATATGATGTTACCTTACATAAATGCTTTAGCTAAATAAATACGAAATTTAGAACTTGCATATTGACAATAGCATGTACTCAATTTAGAAATATGTATTTTATATGTACGAATACTTTTATGTAAGGCATTTAGATCTTTTTATTTATTGTTATTCATATTACTTCTTGAATTTTAAATTATTTAAGCACTGATCGTTTTTACCAACAATAGTGATTAATCGCTGGACGATATAACAAACTTAAAAACCAATATCATAAGAATTATGAAATCTTGTTTTTTCCATAATTTTCCTCCCTTCTTATTGAAAACGACAATTTCCAATTGACAGTTAGACATTGTTACAAGAAAATAATATTATACACTACCCCGTAAAAGCTCATAAAATCGAACATGCAATCAAATTATACATCACCGAAACCATGAGATGCGTGTAAAAATCTGCCAGGAAAAAAACGTCTTCATATCGATAAACTGTTTCGCTGCTTCCCTGCTGCTGTACGCTACATTCCTAAGAGTGGTTTAAGACTCATAGTATACTGTTGGTCGGAAGAGCGTTATGTCTATCTGAAAGTA